AAAAACTATGTTTTATATACAAAATAGATTAACATCTTGTTGTGTATGTGTTTTATGATAATTACTACATGATCAATCATATTTAATCTTCTATTTTCTTACAATAATTTTAAATGATCTAATATATTATTTTGTTTTAATTTTATTTTGTTAATAGGTAGAATGATATGAGAAAAACAAAATTTAATTTTTGTTTTTTGAGTAAAAAACCAATCTTGATGTTGTAATCTATATATATAAAGTTATATTTGCATGTTTTTTGAGTAAAAACCAATCTTGATGCTTTTATATTTTCTCATGCATCCACATCATCATCCACATGTCATCATTTAATTAGTTATATTTGCATAATAAATCAATATTTAATAATTAATTTCATATAAGATGTGGTAATTTTAAAATTATGAATAAATATATGTTTATCTCTGTGCTATTAATAGTGGAATTTGAATAGTGTTTTTCAAAATATTATTTCAAAATGATATATCTATTTAACCAAAGAAGAAATGTAAATGAAAAATAAATAAACCTACATACGATGAAGATAAAGAAGAAGAAAGAAAAGGTAATCATAATACACAAAAAGGCTATTTGTCAAAGATGAAAAATATAAAAATTCATAAGATGAACATAAAGAAGAAAAAAAAATATAAACAAGAATGCTATGAAAAGAGATTGAAAAACAACTGATAATTTGTATCCTCCAAATGATAATCGGTTATTTAGATAACAAAGTTTCAAACAAACATATTTATTTTTAAATAGTAACCATCAATATCAAATTGCTTTAGAATTAATCTAGTAATTTTATACCTTTTTTTTGGTCAAAGATGATAAATTTCATTAAACCGAAAAAGAGGTTAAACCGGTAAAAGTCGGTTTATAATACAAAGCAAATTTGGCTAGACCATCGACCATGGAGTTCTTATATGTGGAAATAATCACAAAAGATGAGATATTGAGATCTACAGATAGAGTTGCAATGTCATGTAACATACCATAGCATAAAGGTGAGAGATTTGTGAGTTGAAAATGGTATTATACTTATAATTGGCAAATCAACCAATTTTCTTTAGATATAAAATATTTGATTTGAATTGAAATGAAATTAATTTTTTATCTTATTTGTATTGTATGAAAATATGAAGTGATCTTCAATCATTTCAATGTTGATAGTTCCTATTTGAAA